ACACACACACACACACACACACACACACACACACACACACACACACACACAACCAATCCCGCCACGTCTGCCTGGGCTAGGTGTGTAGGTGCGGAGGACTAGGACTACGAGAGCAAGGAGAGAGGGGGTAGGGAGAGAGGGAGGGAGGGAGGGAGAAAGGGAGGAAGGGAGGCTCCTGGCAGGCTACCTCCGCGGCCAATTCAAACTCGCCTCCATTCATAGGAGACTGTAAGTACTCAGAGGCATACTGGGAATTGTAGTTCCCATGGCTGCCGGTAATCAAGAGATAGGGGACAAGGGGTGGCAGGGTCTTGTCTCAAGGTGCTAATGCTCCAAGTTCTGATCTGGCGGGAGAGAAGGAATGCAGGGCCTTTTCCTGTCCTGATCAAAATCTTCATTTGACTGGCCTTTGAGTGGGGGCACGAACCGGGATGAATGGCAGTGTAATGGAGGATTGCAAGGTCAGTCACAGAGCCCCTGCTTGTCCTAGTTTTTGTCTTAGCTTCCCACTCCCTTTTTACCTGCCGCACTAAGTCAGCTCTGTACTGGCAAGCAGTAATATATTGAGGAATTTGCTCCTCCAGGGGAAGGCTAGCTGGAACCAGACCCTGCGCACGTCCCAGAGAAAGAAAAAAAAAAAAATCAGACCTTGCCCACAGAGTCTGAAGTTAAGGAACCCACAAGAAAAGCTGGTGGTATTCATCAAGTAGGTCATTGTATCCAGGGATCCAGACCTTGTGGGAGAGCGACCACAAGGTGGAGCTACAGCGCAATTCCTGTATAAAGCTCCTGGGCCACCCTGACTGTGGCAGCAGCTGCTACTGTCCAGCCTGCTGGGGAAGGTGGTGGTGTTAGTCCTTCCGCCTACCGCCCTCAAATCTCCTCATGATGCTGACCCCTCAGTGTCATTTAACATCCAGTTCCGGATGGAATGAGCATCCTTCCAGCCCCAGCACCAAAATGATTAGACTGTGACCAAATGACAAATACAAATTCATTGAATAACAGATTAACAGGCAAGATACAGTCACCGCTCCAAACAAAAAGCCCACCTTCGGCACACGATTACATTGCTAAATGAGCTTTTTAGCTCCCAACCCGTAGGCAGGAAAGAAGCTCAATTGTGAGAGGGAGGAGAGAAAGGGCATGTAGTGGGGACTGTCTGCATCATCTTAGAGTTCTCTGGGAAAGGCCAAATTTCCTTCAGTCATCATTCTGAGCTATCCCACCCAGACACACCCTGCATTTATCAAAGAACATGTGCACACAAGCCTAGGCCATTATCTTGGCAATCTCTCTCACTTCCTTGCTTTAATTTCATTTGGGGAGTAACTTCTTGTCACTCACCGTCTTTCCAACTAATTCATGTCAGAACACCAAGGGCAGCAAATTCCATGGCAGCTTGAGACATGCCCACCTTCTGGACAAAAGGCCCTCTTAGTTCAACATCTTCTGTTAGTAAATGCTCTCTTCCTCGGAATATCTTCTTCCAGGATATTCCACTTCAGCTTCTCTCCGTCCCTTTGACGAGTACACATGGGTTTTAGGTTGCCTTAGGTCAGGGCCTAGGCCTGGCATTCACTCCAAGGTAAAATTGTTGATCTTGGTCAGCAGCACTGCTGTTTCTAAGCCTAGGGAAGTGAGGAAGAGATGGGTCTTGTAGGGAGTGAACCCAGGGGAAATTCGGAGAAAATGAGAAGGGAAGGGGCATTCTTACCAGTTCTGTTTCTCTCAGCACATCTCCTATAGAGAAAGAGTCTTTCTATTGTGAGTTCTGCCAACTTGTAGTAAGATTTTTCCAACCCACGGCTTCTCCCAACTGCTTTCCCCAGGGTCAAGACATTTTATTGGGATAAGGGAGGCTCAAAAATTGAAGAGGACCAAATCCCCATCCTAAGCAGCACATTCAAAGTCAGAGTCATCTTCCTTACCTGGGGCCTGGAGAGAGTGCCCAGGGGACAAAGGGAAAAGCACTCACCCTCTGAGGAGGAAGATACACAAAATCAGCAGAATGGAGACGCAGTTGGTGATGATCCATATCATTAAATATTTCTGAGGGGGCTATGGAATTAGAAAAGGTCCGTCAATGGGGATAGAGTAGCACATGGGGATAAACAAGCATGGAAGAGGACAGGTTTAGGGAGAATAAAAGATTGGAGAGGAGGAACAGTGACAGTTCTAGCGCCCTTACAATAAGCCAGAGCGGGTGATGCATCTGCTGCAGCAGCTGGCAGTCGTTGGTGGTGACAGAATCTACCCCTGCACACCAGAGTAGGGAGAAGAGCCAGGCCTTGTTCACTACAAATAGGTTCACTGAGACATTATCCTGGTGCAGCATCCTAAGAAGTAAGAAAGAAATGGGGGGAGGGGGGAGTGTTCATCAGAATTTGCCCAGCTCATGTCTGAGACTCTCTGCCCTGAATCCACTCTCTTTTCTAGAAATCTCTGTGATGGAGAATACTAAAATCATCCCGCTAAAATCATCACCCTATCTTGTTTGATTCCTGGCTATCTCTCCAGCTTCCCCTTCCTCTTTCTTGCTTGTTATTCTATCCTTGCTTCTTCTTTTTTTCCCCCCCATAATTAGCTCCTTGTAATCATCTGGTGCTCAGCTCAGGCATCACCTTTTCAATGCTTCCTAATGTGGCTTCCCTGGCTCCTTACCCCAAACCCCAATCACTACTGTACCATGAAAATTATCACTACCCAACATAAATGTGTTTTGGGTGATTTGTTGTCTGTATCTTTTGCGAGTTTCTAAACTTCGTGAAAGCTAGGACCTTTCCCAAATTATTCACATTTATTTCTTTAAGTCTACAATAAATGCTGCATGATATATACCAATCATTTACTAAGTATTCATTCATTGTGGGAATGAATGAATAGCTTTTGCACCACCTGCATTGGTTCTTTCCTGACAGTCAACCTTGGGGTCCTCGTTATTTCTTTCACCGGGCACTCACTTGATATTCAACAGTGGCAGGTCTTGATAGGGGAGGTTGAGAAACTGGGGCCTCTCAGTCCTGTTGCCACTCTGATGTCCGTAGATCTGGCGCATTCTGGGGGCCCGCTGTTGTACATTAGCACGATCTTCATCTGGGAGCCAAAGAACCTGTGGTTCAAGGACAAAGAGCCAAAAGCTAAGTAAGCCCTAGGGATTCCTGGGACAGGGGCAGAGAGGTTTGGAAGAAGATGAGGGCAGGAGGCAGGAGGTCAAATTATCATGGCCCAAGGAAGGTATGGTGGGAAGAGGGGCAGAAAGGGGGACTTTTGGGAGCCCTGGACAACATCACCATGGCTTGTGGCACTCTTGCACTCAACACAGCCTCCAGTGTCTGATTCACAAAAGTGTCATAGTATGTGTGGTTCCTAGGGGGACGGCGCAGGTCAAACATGATGGAAAGGTTGAGAGCTGCTGCTTCCTTCAGTAGGTCTTCCAATGCTGGTACTGTCTGATTCTCAGCCTCCTTCCGATCAGAGCCTGACAGCTCTTTGGCCCCCCAGAAGGGATTCCTCTGTAAGAGAGGGAAATTATTTCAATATCACAAGAAGCCTCTAGGTTTTCTCTCAGTTCTTGCCATTTGTTTGTTTTGAGACAGGGTCTCTCTATGCAGTCCTGTCTGGCCTGGAATTTGCTATATAGCTACCTAAAGCAGGCTGGCTTTGAATTCTTAATAAGGTGCCTGCCTCTACCTCCCAAGTGCTGGGATTAAACATGTGAGCCGTCACACCCAGCTAGCTGCTCTTGATCTTACCAAGATTCTGCCCACGTCAGGGTCTGTTTTTCTCTAAATGGTTGCTTTCTTCTATATAATCTTACTCTATGGCCTTAGCATCCTACTCTTCCAGGTTGATAACTTCCCATCCCCGACTACATCATCTTTTTAGTTTCATAGAGACCTCTGTGATCTTGACCCTTTGCTTTCCTCCTGGTCCTTCAGCTCCTTTCTCATTGCACTTCCATACCCACCTAGAGTCCTGTTTGAATTAACTTTCCACCATGGTCTCAAGTACACAGCAAATATCCACTGTTATCCAGCTTTTCCTGTGTCAGTACTTGAGGTCATTAGTTGATAATAAGGGAAGGTGGACAGAATGGCAGAGATTTGGAACAACCACAAAGATGAATGGGAGAAAGGGCCAATCAAGAGCAAGTAAAAGGTTTGATAAGCCACAGTGAGCAAAAACAGGGACCACCAATATTTCCTATGCCATGGTCTGCCTGAAATAGTGTGCAGCCCCCAATTCTAGAGGTGGAGAAGGCAAACAGTTGTAAAACTGAGTCAGAGTTTGGAAGGTGTCCACAGGTGAGAGCAAGTGGGAAAAGAGTCTCTTTCTCTCTCTTTTTGTTTGTTTTTCAAGGCAGGGTTTCTCTGTGTGTAGCCTTGGCTGTCCTGGACTCGCTTTATAGGCCAGGCTGGCCTTGAACTCACCGAGATCCTCCTGTCTCTGCTTCCCTGAGTTGCTGGGATTACAGGCATGTGCCACTGCAGCTGGCTAAATTGAGCTACTTTTTGTTTTCTAAAGGCCTATTCATATTTCTGGCCATTACTCATGCTGTTATCTCAAACTAGACCCCCATGTCCCAAGTAAGGGTTTGAAGTATATTACATCTTAATACTGCAGAACTAGTTCCCCATTCTTGCTTTGAGAAATGTGGACCTCACTCCCATCTGTCCACGAGAAGTATTTTTATTGCTCTATTTCTGATTCCAATTGTCTTTTGCTTAGGCTCTCCTTACTATGTGGGAGTGACACTAGGGCAGAGACTGTTCTTACTGAGCAGCACAGGGTACAGCAAGTACACATTGCTGGAATGAACTCTGCCCTGAGTGCCACTGAGGTGGTGGCCTCTTCTTGGCTGGTATGCTCACCTCTAGGAACCAGTCTCCAGCATTGAGTCTCTGCAGTTCAGCCCAGGAGAAGTCACTGCTGTGGGCTGAGATCCGCTCTGGAAACACAGAGGCTATGTTGGTAGTCCTGCTCAGCCGTTCATCATGCATGAGAAAGGGGACTCCATCAGAGCTGCGGGTACAAGGGGTATCAGGGGACCAAGCTCTGCCATCTTTTTCTGAGTACTGTCCCCCACCTCCACTGTGTCCCTCAGCCCACCAGCCCTCTGGGTCCCACCCTCTATCACCTGACCATCACATCTGTCTCGAACACAGAAGCTCCACACTCAGCTGTCTTCCGCAAGGACATCAGTGTATTCTCTGGGGCCAGCTGGGAAAGGGAGTTGGTGAGGAGGTAGCAGGGAAGGGTGGAGGCCTGGGAACACATGGGCCTGGTCGCTAAAGCCTAGAGGAGCAGATTCTTCTCTGCTTGCTCAGGCTTCTGTCACTTACCATGGGGGCTCCTCGGTGTCCCACAAGCCCAGGCTTGGGGGGTAAATCTCTGAATTCCATGATGCAGGGGGAAGAGATGAACAGGGGGGCCAGGTAGATGACCAGAGTGACTCCAAAAAATAGAAACAGTAACAGAACCTTGGGGCCTGTAGAAAGTGGAGGAAAGGCTTTGGGCAAAGGTAACAAGTGAGGTGGAGCTCTAGGGGCAGAGAGGAGAGCTCAGGTACAGAAAACTGAATGAGCAGTTGGAGGGAGATACGCTGGTATCCAGCGATGGTGAGTTTGGGCTGAAGTTGGCACCTCTTGGGTGGATACGGTAGAAGGTATCAGCCGCAGGCCAGGCCAGGAAGGTGATTCCAGCAACTGCTCCAATGTGAAGGAACGGGCCTGTTGCCTGTGGATAACAGCTGGTGAGGAAGGCTCTTCTTCCTTTGTTCCCTCCCACCCCTCTTCTTTCCCTCTTAGGGACTAACTTTTGGAGCTCAGAGAGAGCTGCAGTCTCATAGGACCAGGCGCAATGTAATGTTCCAGAAATAGCCATGGGCCTAGACAGAGGAGATCCAGGACTTACCTGCAGCGACAGTCGTAGACTATGCCACTCCTGCCGCCATTGGATATCCAGTCCCACAAGGCCAATAACCACCAGAAGCATAATGAGGAGCAGTAGCACCTGGGGACAGGGATGAATGACTAGGCCTTCTTTGCCAGCAGACACTCATGGTTACTGGGGCTACCTCCTCATTTGGTCGAACACACCACTATCCTTTCACTCAATAAATATGGCACTGGGTTTCAGGTCCTAGTCTGTACCCAAGGGAGAAAAAGTGAAGTCCTCAAGCAAATGGCCATCAGAGTGCTGCACCCAGCACCTGCCTCTCCCTTTCATGGCCACTTCACTGTACCTTGTGGATACTGTGAAGATGTAGAGGCTGTCCACAGAGCTGTAGGAGCAGGCCCAGGAGCTGGGAATAGAGCATAGGGGCACTTAGGAGGCTTCAAGAGATGGCAAGTTCACTTAGTGAGGATTTGCAGACTGGCATTTCCTTCCCACCCAAGAATTATCCTCTTCCCCTCCGTGGTTAGGATGAGAAGCAGACAGTAGACCTGAGCAAGAAGGAAGGGCTTATGTGGGAGTTAGGCCAGATGTCCCTGGACCAACCAATAGCAAGGATGCATATGTAACCAGTAGAGAGATGAGCAGCACAGCGATCAGGGACCAGTCCATCCAGAGTCCCCAGTGGCGGAACAGGAATCTGCAGGAGGGGAAAGAATGTTGTTCAAGGAGAGGAGGTGACCTGAGGGGAGTTGAGAGTTAAGGTACCTAGGTCCAGGAAAATAACTAGATGGGAGTGAGGAGAAAATGCTTCATAGGGCTAAGGGTTCCAGGGACTGGGGGGGGGGCGGTTCTTGGAGAAATTTTCCGAGGACAGAAGTGATGGGATACAGGAGCCATGGAGCGCTGGGGCTGACGGACAGTGGGAGCTGAGCACAGGGGTAGGAAGTAGGTTGGTCCGTATGGTGAGGAAGGGGTGGGTGGTACATGACACACTCATTGAAGTTGTGCAGATCATTGAGAAGGACAAGCCCGATGTACAGCCATCCCAGGGACAGGAGGAAGGTGAGGAAGAGCAGGCCAAACCAGACGCAGTCGCACTGCAAAGGGGCAGGAGAGAAGATCTTAGCTTGAGCCCCATTTCATGCTCAGGTACCCCTAGGATGGCGGCTCAGCTTCCTGCCCTGCACTGAGCTGCTCTTCCTGTATTTGAGGGAGATTTTCTTCCTGGGGAGAGAAAAACTCTTCCTCCCAGTTGCCTATGAAAATAGTCAGTCCCCAGTCTCCATATTCCCTTCAAAGAGCCTTTGCCTTCTAACTTGTGGCCTCCCACATCCTTATATCACCTTGCTGGTTTGCATCTTCTGTTTAGGACATTTCTTCCAGTGGCAGCTATACATGCAGTGGAGGCAGTGGGCCCAGACAGAGCAGCAGCCAGGGGACTCCGCCATAGTGAAGACCTGGGGAAAAGAGCACTTGACCATCAGGGACCTGGAAGAGGACAGAGCCTAGCCTCCCTTCCCATGTATCTGAGGAGCCAAGGGCACATAGATAGAAGCCTAGGCCGCTACTCAGCAAGAAGGTTACTTGTCACAAGGAAGACCCAGAGCTCTGGATTTCATGAGGTAACTGGCTCCAAACCTCAACAAGAGGAAGCATTTCTGGAGTCTTTCATTGCCCCTTATTTTTGATATACAGGAAGTCAGTCAGTGGTCCTTTTTGTAGGCATCATGTGTAACCATTCTCTTCAGCTCCTTCCTATTTAATGACATCCAAACCTGGGTTTGGAGTGCTTGCCCAGAGTAAATCAGGAGACATTGCTCCAGGATGGGACAAACTCAGTTCAGCAAGTTAAGGCAGATCTGACTGAGCTTGAGGCAGCCAAATGCTGTCTTCCATCCCAGGAAGTAGGAGTAACCTGAAGCAGAGGTTCCCATTCTGACCCCAGGCTAAGGGAGGCACAGCTAGTTGACTAGTTGCTATGGAAACAGAGACTGAACAAACCACAAAGCCCTGACTGAAAGATTCTCTGTCTGCTTCCCAGGGGTTAGGGGCACTGCTAATAGGAGGAAGACTTCAGGAGCAGGCCGACTGGATTCTTACTCCCAGCCTTCTAAAGGAGCCCCATTCCTACCTGCCCAGCCCAGAAAATCCAAGTCCCCCCCCAAACCCCGCCGCCTCCAGCCTTGTCCTTTCCTGCCCGGTCATCATATATAGTCACCCTCCACCCCAAATAGAAACCCAGCTCCCGTCTTCCCTTCCCCAGGGGCCCCACCCTTTGAGTTATCCTTAATCAAAGTACAATACACACACAGGGCAAAGGTGCATGTGTGCGTGTCTGCGTGTAGTGGCGGTGGCAGGGCGGTTGTCTTGGGGCAGGGTATTCCTGTGCCTTATGGTTCTGAGTATGGCTAAAACAAACTGGGCTGGGCTGGTGAGTGGGATTCTACCTGAGAGGGTTATACGGTTTGCAGCAGTTGAGAATTCTATCTCGGAACCACCGATGGGAAGCAGGGTGTGACTGTGTGTGATGTGTCAGCATATGTACATGTGTGTACTAGTGGACTAGTGGCTGCCAGGACAAATGAGTTTCAAAATGACTACGTAAAGGATAATTTTTCCTCTCCTGTCCTCTCTCTCTCTCTCTTTCGTGTGTGTGTGTGTGTGTGTGTGTGTGTGTCTAACTGTCCTGTACCAAGGGACAGACCCTCCTTGTTCACTCTGTGGCGCCTTAAGGGGTGCGCTGCGGGAGGGTCCCTGAAAAGAAGCAAGGTGTGTCTGCTCTTGAGATTGCTCCCTTACTCTAAGTTCCCCTCGGGAGTTGAGGGGTTGGAGCTGGGGAAGAAAACCTTTACCTTGTGGGTCCCTTCCCAGTAGACTGTAGTCAACCCAGAAGGGAGACCCCTAGTTTTCCCCATCCCAGAAACAGGCTACAGTAGCTAGTCCTGAGCACCAGTCCACACCACTTGCTTTTTCTAGGGTCTTTCCCCGTGTACCCCAGATTTCAAGAGTCTTACCTCCCTCAAGGGCTGCCTGGAAGATGGGATCAGGATCTGGCCAGTCTGAAAGACCCCAAGGAGGGAATCTGACAGGGGTGCTGCCTAACCCCCTTGACTCCATCCCTGCTGAGTTGAGTGAGCAGGTCTTCACTTCCCAGCTCCCACCGATAACCCCCCCAGCCTTCCCGAGACTTCACACCTTTCACTCAGCAAGCGAGCAGCTCTGCTTCCCAGCTCCTCTCCGAGTTGTCTGACTCCTCTCTCTTGCAGTCCCTGGCTCAGCCTCACTGGTCAAACTGGTGTCACTGTTGCCACCTACAGGAAGAAGTGTGGGTCCTCTTGCAAGGCCTACAAAGGTTCTATGGCCCAAGCCCAGCCATGGTGGGAATATGGGCGCTAGTGAGCAGGAGAGGAGGTTGCCTTTTTACTTGCTGGAGCTGGCCGTCAGGGGGCTTGATGTGAGGAATTCTTTTGTGCAGCCTTCCCCATCCCTCTGTCCCTCCTCCTGTTCCCCTCCCAGTCACTGCCAGAGGGCTTTGTCCTGGCTCTAGGAGGGAGGACTGAGGGCAGAGGAGGAAGGGAAGCTGGGGGAGGTGACCACATACACTTTGCATCTTGGCAGTGAGAAGAAGGAGCCCTGCCAGTGCCCTGGAAACTCTTGATCATATGAGGAAGTCTAACCTCAAGCTTCCTGGGACTACAACTTCCAATCGTTAGCTTCCCTTTCCTCTTGGGGTATTTGCATTTCTGCAAATTCCATCTTTGTGATGCTCTAGAAGTGACTCTATGAACTCTGGGCAGCAAATTGCCTATCACCGAACCAGGGGTCCCTGTGGATGTATTCAACAGCCTTTACTTCTCCAAATATAAAACGCTCAACCAGGATATTAGTCTTGCCGCCTTATTTACCAAGCATTGGATCATGTCAGGAGTGTAGAGTGTATTAGGGTACCAGGCTTTGGGAAGATGAACATATACAAAAGAAGGTGGCCTAGCAAGTTGTGGTCACAGGTTGCCTGTGAGCTGGGAGAGGACTGATGGACAGCTCCTGGATTGTGGCTGATGCAGTGACTTGGGGTATTGGTTGGAAAGGATGACTTCTTACAGATAAGCTGTCTTCCCCTCCCCCTCCACACACTCAATTTCAAACAGTGAGGGAGACTGGCTCTCTTCTGCCAGGAGCTGGTTCCCTCCCTCTCAGCTTTCCCATTGTATCCAGAGGCTCTATTTGGCAATGGCAGAGATTCCCTAACTCTCTCAGAATTAAAATGCAAAGAGAAGCAAGGCTGCTTGCTGGCAGGAAGCCAGGGAGGGCCAGCGGGTCACCTAGAGAGTCATTCTTGGCAGGTTGTTTTTCAATTTCCTTTGCTTGGGTTGTGGTGGATTCTGCTTTCTTGTATGTGGGGACGGTTTGAGAGCTTTTTAGCTGTAGAAGTGTATGCGGGGGGTGGGGTGGGGGTGGGGGCAAGTGCAGGATTCAATATGCATGAATGAGTCCCAAGACTTGAAAACTCCCAAAAGGCTTCACATCTAGCCTGTATGTGGCACTGCAAGACTGGGCCCCTTCTAGCTTCTAATTGGAAATGAGTAAGCCTTGACCCTCTTTTCTCTTTTCAAGGGAGAAAGTAGGCAGACAGCAGTTTTTTTCTGTAACTGAAAAGCAGTGTTTTTTTATACCCATTAGTCAGATTCTAGGGCATTAGGAAGAGATACATAGTAAATATATATTGGGTTCTGTTCCTGGATATATTATTCAAAAATACTGTAACTCTACATAACTACTTTTTTTTGTACCTTGGTACTATCTGTATGTTAGATTATCAATGTTCTCCAAAGGCCCATGTGTTCAAGGCTTGTTCCCTGGCCTGTGGTGCCATTTGGGAGGTTGTGGAAACACCCAGATTCTTCCACTATTTTTTCCATCCTGGCCAT